GGAAAGAGAGATAATGAAAATTACTTTTTATAAGATAGTATATAATATTTTAGTAGAAAGATGAAATAAAAACAACACCTTCTTCATTGTTTAGCTCACTCTCTTAGGGTCTGTTTGGGGCAGCTGCAACTTATTGAATAATCTGCTGAAAAGCTAGGTGCGGCGACTGATACAAATTTTTAGTTTTTTGAAAAAAATCAGACCGCAGCTAGAAAGCTGCCACCACACCTAGACAGGTGTGGTGTTAAAACGTTTTTTTAGCGTTTGGAAAACGCATAAGTTGCCAAAACGTAGTTTACCCAAACCGATCTGATGCGTTTTCAAAACGCCACTGCACCAAATAAGCTGCCCCAAACGGGCCCTTAATATAAGATAAAATTTAATATTTTTTATATTGTATTAATCCTATTTTTTTATTAGTAATATTACTTATTAGATCCATTTTTTTTATATATTATAGTCATACTTTGTTTAGTGAAGCTCCAAACCATATTGTTCCAAATTAGTATATGAAGATATCAAATTAGAGAAATAAGTGCCGAAAGAGATTTTTTACAAATATTGAAGAAAAATAAATGATTAATTTGAAGATTTTTTTTCAAGTTTTTTGGATTTATTGTGCTTTTACTGATCATGTCCCCATCCCCATAGCTTTTAGAGATGTTATTGATGTAAATGCGTGGTGGATGATTTGTGGGCTAGCTCCCTACAATTATAAAGTTAGTTTGCTCAAATGTTCTCTTCTTCTTGATGTGAAAGAAATTGGAGTACATATTCTTTTATCAGTCCACTTAAGTGGAACATGATTTTTCTTGAACATGAAAAAGATTTAGTATTTATGCATACCAATCTTCGTTTTTTATTCAGGAGCCTAGAATACACTAAAGCAGAGAGAAAATTGTGTGATGTTGGTGGAGATGCATTTGCTACAATAATGACATTAAAATACTTGAAATTGTTAATCTATCTCTTGATAATTCATGCTTGAACACTGTATTTTCTTGGATTAGCATCTCATTAAAGAGGACAATGAGGCTAGCATTAATGGCGATCTTATCCTTGAATTCATTAACTCCAATTAGTAATGATCATATTCTATATTATGTACTATATTAAGGATGACATTGGCATTAAATTCTTTGTAGATCATTTTGATATTTGAATGTACTATTGATATTGCGAAAATAAATTTTATTATCACAAACTTTCTTCTATGATTACATACTTCATTTTGTGATGTCTTTAGTCGAGAATAGTGAAAAAATTAAAATTTATATCAATAACTTATTAATTATAAAAAATGTCTATAGCGTGTCGTGTTTTACTTTTTTACAGTTGTGTCGTGTTGCCTCATCATGTCGTGTTGTGTCAGTGCCCCCATGTTCGTATCCATGTTTTATAAATGCATCATAAGAGCTTAAGAGGATCACATAAAGTAAGTTTTTGCACACTGTGATGAATCATTTCCATTAATTGCAGTTGGATCTTACATAGTTTTTGATCTCTTGTCATTTGATTTATTCTTATTGGAAGAAATTATCATCAGAAATGTTGACTAGTCTGGCCATTATGCATGAGAAGTTGATGGCCATATTTTACTTGTAGTGATAGTTATGGTTAACTGATTCTGTTCCGGTTCTTTGATGCTTTGAAGTTTGGTAGGGGAAAAGTGCATTGGCATCAAGGGAGAGCTGAAGAATAATGAATGGGCCATTGAAGTTAAGTATCTCTCAGGTTGATTGTGAGAATTTTGGACCATTCTAACAGCTGTGTATATAGATTTTGCCATATTTGGTCAACTGAGTTAATGTGGGATTATTCTTTGCAAATTCTTGGCATGCTTGCAAACTTGCTAGGGATTGGACGGCTGAGTGTTGGCCAAATACATTTTGTGATTTCTTTCGATATTATGGCTTGAAAGCTATTACGATAATTCTGCAAGTATCTGGATTTTGGAAACACTTTTTTTTGGTGGATGTATTATTTGGACTATTTTATTTTCATTATGATTTTTGATAGACCGAATGGACTTTTATAATCTTTTCTGCACATGGCCAAAATCTAATTATTAATGTGAAGTCTGTAAAGCCCTTTATTTTGTTTGGCAAACATAAATGCCAGTCATTGTTTATTTAGGCATACAATGATTTTTTTTTACTATTTTTTTTGAAATATAATTCCATTCTTCCACATTTAAAGTGCTGATCTTATTCGGTAAATTTTAATCTTTATTGTCAGCAATTTTTTTAGTTTTCTTGATTTGAGATAGAGTTTTGACATTTTATGGTGGTTGAATATGCTTCTAATTCTTGTTTTCCTTATTTTTTTTTTGCCACATGTTGCATAGGTTATGCCAATGAAAGTGGAAGAGAAAAAAGAAATGGCTGCTGAGAAACAAGATAAAAATATGGTAAAGCCAAGGAAGCGAAAGGAGGTCTTCATTTATGGGAATTACAGAAACTACTATGGCTATAGAGTATGTATTCTGCTCTGTCCCATTTCTTTTGCTATGCCCTTTTATATTTGTTTAGCGGAACCCATCTTGTTGTGATATGGCTAATTTGCTGTTTCCAGTGCTGATGATTACTTGTATACTTATCTTTAGATAGGTATGTCCATGCGGCCTAATTTTCTTATGGAAGGCTCTGAGAATGAATTACCTATGCCCTGGACAATACCCAATTAAAGTGTCTTTGGGCCTACTATACTGAGCGCAGCATTGTTTTTATGTGCTTTAGATCCGTTTGATAAATGGGCAGAACGTGAAGATGGGGTAAAATTTAACTGATCCAAATCTGACCAAACAGAATGTTCATACTATATTATTATTATTGTTTTTATTATTGTTATTGTTATTATTCAAAGTCTATTACATAGCTCAAAAGTTAAAAAAAAATTAATTTTCTTTAATGAGTGTTTTTTTTTTGGACACTCAATAGGACTCAATTGAGAGAAAAAGATTCATGTAGCCGACCCCACTTAGTGGGATAAAAGCTTGTTGTTGTTGATGATGGGAGTTTTTTTTTCGCCATTTGTTGTCTCCAAGTGAGCATTCCATTACCTTCTCAACCTTAAAAGTTATGACTATTGTAGTTTCTTTTGTAGCAAATTAACAATGCCTAAAAATTTGACAGTGGGGATGTTTTTGATGTGTTCCATGGAAAGCGAATGATAATTATGCAAATTGAGCTGGAGATAGTGAGTTTGAATGATAACCTTAACTTGTGTTGTGTCCATCTTTACTCGTTAGGAACTAGAATGTTAGCTAAGTTAGTGCTTTTTGTTTGTCTTTTATTTTTTTTTAAATTTTTTTAATTTTACATTCTGATGAGACTACCTTTTAACCACAGCAAAATGTTTGTGTACTAGGTTGTTGTTGTGCAAGTGCTATTGCATGTTTTCTCTTCCATAATAATACGAGATTCCTTAATGCTATTGTGTTGAGCATGTTCTTTTTTTAGAGTATTCCTTCTATATGTATATTACTGATGACCTTTTTTGTATTCTTCATTTAATTTTTCAAATTATATGGTCCCTTGAACCGTTTACAAATCGGAATTTAATGAAATCTTGCCTCTGCTCGTCCTGTAAATCATAATTGAATATTTATGTGACAATGCAGCTTCACCATACTATGGAGGACGATCCTCGACTTAAAGTTTTCAAAAGAGAATGGTTTGATAATAAGGATTGCCTTGACATTGGATGCAACCAAGGCTTGGTGACTATTACTATTGGTATTGTCCTCCTATTTGCTACTTTTTGTTCTAATCCTGTTAGGAACTTGCTTGTTTTCTTGATATATAATAAAATTTCTGTGGTGGTTGTCATGCAAAATAATTTGATTGATTTTTCTTTCAAGGATTGGAACTTTTGGTATTTTAAATGAAAAAGAAACTAGTTATTTCAACTTTTTTAGTTTATAAACCTGAAGACAAAAGGAACTGGAAATTTTTGAAAATTATTGTCATCAAGTTCAAGGGAGTATATTTTGCATAATGCATACTGTTCCTTCTTCCATCGTGAATGCACTTTGGATTTAGTGACTAATGATATCTTTATTGAGAGGTCCACCTTACCTTTCTTGGTGCATGACCTTTAAAATGAAGCTAGATAACTAGCTCTGGGTATGTATTGCATAGTTATTTGTCACTACACCAATCTATCAGATGCTGGTTTCCTTATAACATCTTATTTACCTCAATAACCTGCTGAAAAAACCTGCTCCATTACCTGTAAATCTCTAAGTATATTTTGACAACTTAATTATCTAGAAAAGCAGAACCCTGACCATTTTTTGGACATTCAGTTCACTGTTTTCATTATCCAGCATTTAAGGTATGCAACACAATGAATCGCCTTTCATGTAAATCCAAGTGAGTGGATACTGGCTATTGTAGTATCAAAAATAAGGTTGAAGTGAGATTGGAGTGATATAGGGATAATGGGATGAACTACGAGTCAGATTATCAAGGGAGATATTATATTAGAGGTTAGAAACTAAAGGGGTGAGTGACAACGAATGCAGATCTAAAGTTTGAAAGTTATAATTTCTTACAATTTAAAATTGTACACAAATGTTTACTTAAAACTTAGATTATTCACTAAGGTCGTACTTAAAGATACTTCTTTATTCAATCAAAATTGACAAGTTCAAAACTAAATCTTTTAGCCATTCTATTTTTTCTTGTATAGTTAGATTCTTCAAAATGCATCCTGGTTTAATTTTCAATATCCTTCAATTTCTTCAGTGCATAGGAGCACACTATTGTGCCTTATGATCTCTTATTTTTTTTGAGCTGGTACTTTGATCTACCGCGTCTCATTGCCTTTTCATGCTGGTTCTCATATCCAGCACCCCCTTACTTGCATGCTCAAACCTCTTTGCACCAACAGAAAATCCTTTTGCCTCACACCCTTACCACATAAATTGCATGAACTTACACTTCTTGTGCTAAATGCTACAACTTGCTTTTTCCATTGTATCATGGCCGATTTATCATTGTTTACTGCTTCAACTCCATGTCTTTCTCTGTCATGCTCTATTCCTTTTTTCTGTGTGATTTGAATATCTTGCTATCATTTCGTCGATAGCATATGACTTTTGCCCACTCTGCATTTAGTGCATTGTGACCTCCACCGCTCTAGCTTCGACCACCTATTTTTTTTTACATTTTCTAAGTCTCTTTAGTTGAAATCTCACTCGTGATCCTCTGTCTTTCTTATGCAATTCTAGCCCGACACAAACTTTTTTGTGCCATTCTGCATGTGCTATTCTCTCCACTGATTGATATTCATTTTCCTTTAGAAACCTATGTAGCACAGACATATAAATACATGGATACAGACTTGACACGATATATAAACAGTGACATGACATATCTGCAAAAATTAGCACACAACACACCATGTTCATATCATCATATTTTGTAACTTATTAATATATAATGCATAATCTTTAGTTGGCCTAATATTGCAATTGCATGCTGCTTCTATTTGAAAAAAAAAAGTTTAATATCCAGTATTTTTATCATCTAGAATTTCCAGATAAAGTTTCCTGAATGTATAAATATGTGAAATGCAACATTTAGCTTTCTATAAGTTATCAAAGTAAACCAAGAAATTAACGCAATAGGCTTCATATAATTTGTCCAATTGAAAATGACAGTTGAAGTAAAAGAGCATCTTTTGTTTAAATTCAAATTGTGAATAGTTAAACCCATTAAGTTAGAAAGGGTAGTAGCAAAAACTTTAAAAGGATTATAAAGATAATAAAGAGCTCCAGTCAACCATAATAACCTCATCATTATATACAATCCATGGATTGATTGAAATCTGATGATCCAAGTAAGATTAGCAGAGTTGTAATTCAAACCAAACTACGACCTATTGAAATGCATTATACCCATCAACCTATGAAGAAAATGTTGTACTAGTTTTCAACCATATAACTAACTTAACTATCAAGAGTGATTGAAGTTATTAACATTGATACCGGAGAAAACCCAAACCATAATAGTTATAATACATGTTATTGCTGAAATTCAAAAGGGTTACAAACAAGGACTTGACATTAGGAAAATAACGACACAAACATAAAAGATACCCTATGGCGAAGGCGAAGGCGGCAAACGCCGGCTGAGCAGCAAGGGGAATGGTTGGCTGGGGCTTGCGGCTGCTATGGTTGGTGCTGGAAGGGTTACGGTACAACAGGGATTGGGGGAAGGGCTGCAGGTTTGGGAGTTGGAGAGGGTTACAGTAGCATCTTTGGGGTGGGAGAAGGTTACGGCAGCAGCTTGGGAGTGGGAGAGGGTCACAACAGCAGATTTGGGAGTTAGGGCTGGTTACGGCAGCAGCCTTGGGAGGGGGAGAGGGTCACAGCAGCAGATCTGGGAGTTAGGACAGGTTATGGAAGCAGATTTGGGAGTTGGGGAGGGTTATGGCAGCAGGTTTGGGAGATGGGGAGGGTTATGGCAGCCACCTTGGGAATGTGCGAGTGGTACGGAAGCAGATTTGAGAGGTGGAGGTTACAGCAGCGGCTTTGGGAGTGGGAGAGGGTTACGGCAGCAACCTTGGAATGGGAGAGAATCACGACAGCAGTTTAGGGAGGTGGGGCTGGTTATTGCAGCAGATTTGGAAGTTGGGGAGGGTTATGGCAGTCACCTTGGGAATGGGGGTGCAGGGAAAATCAGCAAGCAGCAAGGAGAGGAGGTGGACTTTGGAGAAGATAAATCACCATCGGGCAGAGGAATACTGCCGGAGCACCACCCTAACCATTAGATGCAGCCCTAGAAAGGGAGAAGAGGACGCCTGCTACTGTCCAAACAAAACCTGAATAAACTCACAATAATCTAATCCTAATTCAGCACCTCTTTATAATAGGTATATAGCCGGTAAAACAAAAAAGGGGATTTCCCGCCCAATGAAAAGAGAGAGGAGGGGGTCTGTTCAATCCCCTTGCTAAACTGGGTTGAACCGATTCAGCCCCCTAGCTGCCACGTGACACATTTTTCTGTTAAGATGCTCATCTAAAGTGCTTATAAGGCCATGTATTCCAACCTAAATTATGATTTCAATATAAAAGGTACTCGTGGTGAGGATAAATATAAAAGACTATATGTTTGTTCATAACATGACTACCACTTACCTATGATGTCAAACCAAGATTGAAGTAAAAAATAGTCAAAGCCGAGTTGAATTCGAAGTCGAATGTTAGAGTTGAACACCTTAATCAACTCTCAAAGTCTGAAGTTTGCCTCACATTGAATTCAAAGTCCTGACCCATTTTGTGTGCCAAAGTTGAACTTGTCACTCATCTTGTAAGTTGAAGTTGAAGTTCTTGCCCGTTGAAGTTCTCCAAACCCCTTCAAAATCGAAGATCCCTCATCGAAGTCTTAGTTAAACTTGAATCTTCAAAGCTCCTGAGTTGACGATCATCCCTCTCTGTCGCACTTACTGAAAATTTTAAAATGTTCAACTGGCTTAAATTTATAGTTTGCCACAAGTCCATGCTTTAGATGTGTCATGCATGTTTAGCTTGTGGCCTAGGCATGTCTGAATTAAATTTGATTCTTAAAATACCGCGATAAAGTTTTGAATGTGGAAGATACCTGTGGAGGTATGTTGATCTATGTTTGTATTTGTCAAGTGACACGTAAGGCATTTCTAAGTGTCCATGATTCATAGCCCCTTGAACATGCCATGTCCTTGCTCCATCTTTTTGCAAAGCAACTTTTCACTCTTTGCTTGCTTCTATTCTATGATCACAATTAACTTCATTATCTTGATTCTTGCATTTCTGCCTTTGCTATTCTTGTACCTGTTGTTTTCCTACAAGCCCGCTTCTTCGATGCTCGTGAACTACCTCGTCCTCATGCTAGCATCCTCTGCACAACACATTGTTGCTTTCCACACCTCGCTTAACTCTGGTTAGCTTTCATCATTGCTCTCTTGTTTGTGGGATTACCTAAAGCTTGAATAAGGGGTTGTTTAGTTTGCTGAAATTGAAATGTAATGTAGAAGGTTTGTAAAGTACTATGGTCACAATGTATTTGAAATACCTTAGAGTTGTTTAGTTCACTGTAAAATAAAAGTTGAAATTTATTTTTTTTATTTGTTTGTTTTGAAGTAGATTGAAAATATTGTATTTCAATATATATATATATATATATA